AATTCTCCTGCCTCAGCCTCCTGAGTAGCTGGGATTACAGGCATGTGCCACCATGCCCAGCTACTTTTTTGAATTTTTAGTAGAGACGGGGAAAGCATCTTAAAAACGGCAAGAGAAAAGAAGCAAGTAACATAAATGAAACTCCAATACATCTGGCAACAAACTTCTCAGTGGAAACCTTACAGGACAGGAGAGAGTGGCATGACATATTTAAAATGCTGAAGACCAAAAACTTTTCCTATAGAATAGAATATCTGGCAAAAATATCCTTCATACAGGGACGAGAAGTAAAAACATTTCTAGACAAACAAAATCTAAAGAACTTCATAAAAACCAGACCTCTCATACAAAAAATGCTAAAAGTACTTAAGTCAGAAAGAGACAGACATTAGTGAGCAGTAATAAATCATCTGAAGCTACAAAATAAATACACAGAAAAACACAGAATACTATAACACTGTAGCCATAGTGCAGATTACTCTTAAGTAGAAACACTAAACTATGAACCAATCAAAAATAATAACTGCAACAACTTTTCAAGACATAGAGAGTACAAGAAAATATAAATAGAAACAACAAATAATAAGCAAGGAAACAAAGTTAAAGCACAGAGTCCGTTAGGTTTTTTGATTTTTTTTTTTTTTTTTTTTTTTTGAGATGGAGTTTCACTCTTGTTACCCAGGCTGGAGTGCAATGGCACGATCTCAGCTCACTGCAACCTCCGCCTCCTGGGTTCAGGCAATTCTCCTGCCTCAGCCTCCTGAGTAGCTGGGATTACAGGCACGTGCCACCATGCCCAGCTAATTTTTTTGGATTTTTTAGTAGAAACGGGGTTTTACCATCTTGACCAGGATGGTCTCGATCTCTTGACTTCGTGATCCACCCACCTCGGCCTCCCAAAGTGCTGGGATTACAGGCTTGAGCCACCACGCCCGGCTTGATTCTTTATGGAAGCAGTGTTTAACTGTTATCAGCTTAATGCATTATAAGATTATATATATTTGCAAGTCTCATGGTACACCCAATCCAAAAAACAGAGAGAATCACAAAAAATAAAAAGCAGGAAACTAATATATCACAAGAGGAAATCACCTTCATTATTTAAAAAAAAAAAAAAAGGAAAGAAAGAAAAGAATGCAAAACAACAAGAAAACAAATCACACAATGGCAGGAGTAAGTCCTTACCAATAATAACATTGACTATAAATGAACTAAACTCTGCAGTCAGAAGACACAAAGTGAATGGACTGAATGACTGAATGGATTAAAAATAATAATAACAAGGCTCGATCTGTTGCCTACAAGAAACAAATATCACCTATAAAAACACAAATAGACTGAAAGTAGATGGAAAAAAAGGTATTTCGTGCCAATAAAAACTAAAATAGAGCAGAAGCCACTATACCTTACATGGCAAAGTAGATTTCAAGATTTAAAAAATAAGAGACCAAAAGGTCACTATAGAAAAACAAAGGTTTAGCCGGGCGCGGTGGCTCAAGCCTGTAATCCCAGCACTTTGGGAGGCTGAGGCGGGTGCATCACGAGGTCAACGGATCGAGACCACCCTGGTCAACATGGTGAAACCCCGTCTCTACTAAAAATACAAAAACTTAGCTGGGCATGGTGGCGTGTGCCTGTAATCCCGGCTACTCAGGAGGCTGAGGCAGGAGAATTGCCTGAACCCAGGAGGCGGAGGTTGCGGTGAGCCGAGATCGCGCCATTGCACTCCAGCCTGGGTAACAAGAGCCAAACTCCGTCTCAAAAAAAAAAAAAAAAGAAAAAAGAAAAACAAAGGTTTTGGCTGGGCACAGTGGCTCACGCCTGCAATCCTAGCACTTTGGGAGGCCGAGGTGGGTGGATCACCTGAGGTCAGGAGTTCAAGACTAGCCTGGCCATCATGGTGAAACCCATCTTTTAAAAACAAAAAAACAAAACAAAACAAAAAAACAAAGGTTTCAATTCAACGAGAGGATATTACAATTGTACATATATATGTACCCAAACCTGGAGCATCCGGACGTATAAATATTATTAGAACTAAAGAAAAACACAGGTGCCAACACAGTAATAGCAAGAGATACCATCAACACCCCACTTTTAGCATTGGACAGATGTTCCAGAGAGAAAATCAACAATGTAACATTAGTCTTGGTCTTCACTACAGACCAAATGGACCTAATCGATATTTAGAAAACATTTTCTCCAACAGCTGCAGAATACATATTCTTTTCTATAGCACATGGATTATTCTCAAGGATAGACTGTATGGTAGGTCACAAAACACATTCAGTAAAATTGAAATAATATCCAGCATCTTCACCGACCACAATGGAATACAACTTGAAATTAGTAACAAGAGGACAGCTGGAAACTGTACAAATACATGCAAATTTAACAATATATTCCAGAATAACAAGTGGGCCAACAAAAAAAATTAAGGAAAACGTTAAAAAGTTTCTTGAAACAATTGACATTGGACACATGACATACCAAAACCTACGGTTACGGCAAACACACTACTAAGAGGGCAAAAGTTCATAGCTATAAGCTACTACCGCAAAAAGGAAAAACTTCAAATAACCTAATAATGCACCCTAAAGAGCTTGAAAAATGCAACAAACCAACCCAAAATTATTAGGAAAAAATAGTAGACAAAAATAATGTTTACCACCAAGCATCTCCTCAGGCTAACGCTGTGCCAAACATGGGATTACAGAGATGAAGGAGCAGTTTCCATCCCAAAAAGCTCTCAGTCCATGCTCTCAGGGCAATCCCAATAACCTCATCGCAGTCATCCATCCAGACCATGGAAGTACCTTTACTCCTTAAATAGAAAGGAGTGCCAGGAAAAAGTGACCTGACTAAACCGATTTGCATTTTCCAAAAGTAAGTAAGTAAATAAATAAATAAATAACTGTTTAACCTGCACAGCCAAATATCAAATACAAAAAAGAGAAGACAACAAGATCGGAGTAGAAGTCTATGAAATTTAAAAAAAAAAAAAAAAAAAGAAGTCTATGAAATTGTTAGGAAAAATATGCAAAAGATAATAAAAGGCTAGTTTTTGGAAAAGTTAAAATTCACAAACCTTTAGCCAGAGTAAGAAAAAAAAACAGACAAGATACGTTTAAATGAATCAAAGATGACACAGGAGACATCACAACTGATACTGCAGAAATTCAAAGGATCATCAGTGGCTACTATGAGCAACTATATGCCAGTAAAGTAGGAAACCTAGAAGAAATGGACAAATTCCTAGACACATATGACCTGCCAAGATTCAATCATCGACAAATACAAAGTCTGAATAGACCAATGACAAGTAACAAGATTGAAGCCATAATAAAAAGTCTGCCAGTAAGCCCAGGACCTGATGGCTTCACTGCTGAATTCTACCAAACATTTAAAGAACCAATAACAATCCTACTGAAACTATTCAGAAAAAAAGAAGGTGAGAATACTTCCAAAGTCATTCTACAAGGCCAGTATTACCCCGATGCCAAAACCAGACCGAGACAAACCAAGAAAATAAAACAACAAGCCAATGACTGATGAATATGGATGCAAATACCCTCAACAAAATACAAGCAAACTGAATTCAACAATACATTTTAAAAGATCATTCATTGTGACCAAGTGGGATTTATCCCTGGGGTGCAAGGATAATTTAACATACACAGATCAATCAATGTGATCATCTTATCAACAGAATGACAGACAAAAACCATATGATCATTTCAACTGATGCCAAAAAAGCATTTGATAAAAATCAACATGCCTTCATGAAAAACAACTGAGTGTGGCTGGCATGGTGACTCATGCCTGTAATCCCAGAACATTGGGAGGCCAAGGTGGGCGGATCACTAAAGGTAGTGGGTTCGAAACCAGCCTGGCCAACATGGTGAAATCCCATCTCTACTAAAAATACAAAAATTAGCTTGATGTGCCCGCTTGAACCCAGGAGGCAGAGGTTGCAGTGAGCCAAAATCATACAACTGCACTCTAGCCTGGGTGACAGAGCGAGATTCTGTCTCAAAAATTGAGTATAGAAGGAACATATCTCAACATCATAAAAGCCAAATATAGCAGACCCATAACTAGTATCATACTGAATGAAGAAAAACTGAAACTTTAGATCTTCCTCTAAGATCTTGAACATGACAAACCCTTCACCACTCTTATCCCGCATAGTTCTGAAAGTTCTAGCTAGAGCAGTGAGACACAAGAAAGAAAGGGCATCACATTGATAAGGAAGAAGTCAAATTATCATTGTTTGCAGACAATATGTTTGTTTGTTTGTTTGTTTGTTTGTTTTGTGACGGAGTCTTGCTTTGTTACCCAAGCTGGAGTGCAGTGATGCAATCTCAGCTCACTGCAACCTCTGCCTTCTGGGTTCAAGCAATTCTCCTGCCTCAGCCTCCCAAGTAGCTGGGATTACAGGCACGTGCCACCACGCCCAGCTAATTTTTGAATTTTTGGTACAGGTGGGGTTTCACCATGTTGGCCAGGATGGTCTCGAACTGCTGACCTTGTGATCTGCCCACCCCAGCCTCCAAAGTGCTGGGATTACAGGTGTCAGCCACCACACCCTGCCAATATGATCTTATGTTTAATGGCATTAATTTAAATACAATTTTCCCTTCGTAATATTGTCTGAGTCATCTAAATGATGACTAAGTTGTTTAAAAATAATAATAAACAGATACCTATTTTCTTTAATATACCCATTGCTGTTCATTCTTGGTGGGCGGCTTTCCTCCCACACACCTCATCTTGCAAAAAGAGTTTCTCCCAAGGCTGTTCCTGGCTGGCATCAGACCTCATGATGGGGGATTGTTGCAGCTGTTCCTGTCCCATTCTCCCAAAAGTTGCATCAGCTCAGGTTTGTACCCAGGAGGGACAGGACTAATCCCAGCCTCACACTCGTGTGGGCAGATGCTTCTGTCTGACCACAGCGGACTGAATCTGTTAAACAACAGGAGAGGGGCCCAGTGCTGATCATGGACTTCACTCAGTGTGCTGAGATATCCCAGTTCCTGTCCACAAACGCGAGCAAGGGTGAGCCACAGCTTTTCCTCTTCATCCGAAGCCCCTACCCTCTCCCTGACTGTGAGGACCTGGGGTTTCTCTTCTGTCCCACACAGAAGTGGAAATCTCTTCCCTAATGACCCGACGGTGGTCCTAGGCACATGCGGCCCTTCAGCTTTCAATTCTGTTCTTTGATGTACAACCTTCTCAGACTAAAAAGCTTTTCATTTCTTTTCTGCACAAAACTTTCATAATCTACATAATTCAGATATATAGATAGATAGATAGATAGATAGATAGATAGATAGATAGATAGATGGATAGATAGATATGTTTTGAGATAGGTCTTACCGGCTCGCCCAGGCTAGAGTGCAGTACTATGATCATGCCTCACTGCAGCCTGGACCACCCAGGCTCAAGCAATCCTCCCACCTCAGTCTCTCAAATAGTTGGGATTGCAGTCATGCACAACCACACCTGATTATTTCTTTTTTATTATATGCAGAAATGAGGTCTCACTCTGTTCCCCAGTCTGGTCTTGAACTTCTGAGCTCAAGGAATGCTCCATCCTCAGGTGCTCAGATTACAGGGGTGGGCCACCATGCCTGCAACTTTAAACATATAAGGAGCATTTCTTGGCATTTGGAGTTGATGTGGGCTCTTGAGTGGGTGCATCAATCATCCTTTTCAACTGCAGAGCTCGATGCCAGGATCCTCTCACGCCCAACGACTCCTGTCTAAATATAGTCTGGAAACTCACCATGGCTGAGCCCCTTCCATGTCTCAGACACCACTAACCCCCACATCCACTCTGAGAAGTGGAGGTCATGACCACAGTCTCCAAAAGATAAAGGCTGAAGGAAGCCACGGATTACGTGGAAGAGAATTGGGAATTAAATTCAGCTCCCCATTCCAGCCCATGAATAAGATGACAGACCTCAATAATTGTTCTGAAAACCTTGAACATGGTTTGAGGTGCAGAGGGACGGCCAAGGACACGGGCACTGAGGAGGCAGGAACGACTCAGAGGTTCATTCCCAGAGGAGGGGTTTTGCTGCTCTGCCCTGGTGCACACAACCTTGGTGAGCTGCGTGTAGGTCAGGCAGACAGTGGCTAGGCCTCAGCGAGACCCCATTTCTGTCTGAAATGTCTTCAGAGAGCCGGGAGCTCACCCCAGCCCCATCCCTGGGGAAATGAGAGCCCTGGGGAGGGCAGTTCCCTGTCCTGTGGGTCTGCAGATGGGACAGTCTTGTGACAGGGAGAACACAGCCTCCAGTCCACACTCTGCGTGCTCCTGTGTCCTGCCAGGCACTGTGGTCTCATCTGCCGTGACCCTCACCCTCTCTGTCGTGATTTGCCTCAGTGAGGTTTGAAGAGGGGAAGGAAGACCCTAGTCTTGGAGGGAACTCACTCTAAAGCCAGGTCTATCAGAGGCTCCTAGAGAGGAGAGGAACTGCTGGGGCTTTGGGGGAAATCTCTCACAGGGAACTCTCTTGCAGGGCTGAGCCTGGGCCCCAGGACCGGCATGCAGTCAGGTGAGTCTGTCTGCAGCTGTCCCAGGTCCCTGCTTCTCAGGACAAGGGCCCAACCCCAGGCAGCTGGGGGTGGAGACACCGGTTCTGGGCTGACTGATGGGGATGTCTGGAGGGTCCTGGGGCTGAGAGCTGGGATCTGAGGGGTGAGGACATCTTGGCATCAGTCTCTGATTCCATTCCAGGCACCATCCCCAAACCAGTCTCCGTGATTGCCCGGTTCAGCCCCATGGCCCTCTGGTGTCAGGGGCCCCTGGAGACTGTGAAGTACCATCTGGATAAGGACGGAATCCCATGGCACAGACAGAACCCACTGGGGCCCGGAGCCAAGGCCAAGTTCCACAATCCATCCATGGGATTTCATGCTGCAGGGCAATACTGCTGCCACTGTGAGACTCCTGCAGGCTGGTCAGAGCCCAGTGACCCCGTGGAGCTGGTGGCGACAGGTGAGGGGACACTCAGGGGCCCCAGCCCCAGGCTCTGCCCTCAGGAAGGAGGTCGGCTCTCAGAGGTGTCGCTCCTCTCACAGCCCAGTCTTGGGTATACAGCGGGAGGTGTGACCCCATTAAACATGTTGCCTCCTTCTTTCCTAGGATTGTATGCAGAACCCACCGTCTCAGCCCTGCCCAGCCCTGTGGTGGCCTCAGGAGGGAACACGACCCTCCAGTGTGACACAAGGAACGGATTTCATTTCTCATGTTTGTTCTTGTTGAGGGAGGAGAACAGAAGCTCCCCAAAGGGACGTCCCAGGCCCTGTTCCCTGTGGGCCCTGTGACCCCCGGCCACAGGTGGAGGTTCAGATGCCATTACCGTTTCTGGAAAAAACCTCATGTGTGGTCAAACCCCAGTGATCTCCTGGAGATTCTGGTCCCAGGTGAAAAAGCCACCACGCTTCTTTATACAATTGAGAGGAGCCAGATAGGCTGTGGGAGTCTGGTTGATGACTGATCATGGCCAGGACCCCAGAAGGATGTATTGAGGGCTGGGCCAATGGCGTGAGGAGGACCCCATGCAGAGGCTCTGATAGGGAAAGAGGAGCCTCAGTCACCCTCACCTGGATGAAGGCACTGGGTGTATTTGCTGCAATTTCCTGTCCCTTAATGAGATAAGGACAGACCAGACAGAGTGGCCAGGAGTCAGGGATACATCCGTCTGGAACCTCTCCGGGACAGCCTGGGTGAGAATGAGCCCCTGGGATCCGAGACACAGGGTGTGAGAGACACTGAGACCTGCAGGGCCAGGACGGGAGAAGGAAGGGGCGTGGGAAGAGCAGCCGGCCGAGTCCCCGCTCCGCTTTCCCTCCAGGCGTGTCTAGGAAGCCCTCCCTCCTGACCCTGCAGGGCCCTGTCGTGGCCCGTGGAGGCAGCCTGACCCTGCAGTGCCGCTCCGATGTCGACTACGACAGATTTGCTCTGTACAAGGACCAGGGAGTTCACCTCCTCCAGGGCTCTGGTCAGAAGTTCCAGGCTGGGCTCTCCCGGGCCAACTTCACCCTGAGCCCTGTGAAGGTCTTCCACGGGGGCCAGTACAGATGCTACGGTGCACACAACGTCTCCGAGTGGTCGGCCCCCAGTGACCCCCCGGATATCCTGATCACAGGTAAGGGGCCCAGCGGGTTCAGTCAGGGACCCAGGCTCTGCACAGGCCCTGCCGGGGAGCCCAGGTGGTGATGGCCAGGATGAGGGGTGGGGGTCCCCAGGGAGAAGGAGACTCAGAGGAAACAGAGACAGAGACTGAGGGTCCCAGAGAGAGGCCTGGGGAGGTCTCAGCTCAGAACAAGGTGGGGCAGCCCCTCACCCATCCTTCTCTCCAGGACAGATCCCTGCCAGACCCTCCCTCTCAGTGCAGCTGGGCTCCACAGTGGCCTCAGGAGAGAAGGTGACCCTGCTGTGGCATTGTGGACACTTTCTTTTTGACCAAGGAGGGGGCAGCCCATCCCACCCTGTGTCTAAAGTCAAAGTACCAATCTTACAGGAACCAGGCTGAACTCCCCATGAGTCCTGTGACTTCAGCCCAGAGTGGAACCTACCGATGCTACAGCAGAACCAGCTCCTACCCCTACCTGCTGTCAGACCCTAGTTACCCCCTGAAGCTTGTGGTCTCAGGTGAGAACCCTGACCCTGTCCTCTCTGAGCTCAAAGGCTCAGCTCAGGGCCTGTCCCCAGGAGAGCTCTGGGCTGGGATGGAGGGAGGGGGGTGTTAGGAGGCTCAGCCAGAGTGGTCTCACCCCTCAGAGGGGAGGAGGACAGTGGGCCTCCTCCCAGGCGGGCCCACCCTTGGCCCCATCTCCTGGGACACAAAGGGTGAAAGGTGAGCAGAGGAGAGTTTCCAGAGAAGCGACAGGCAGGTGGGGCGAGGGCCTTCAGTGGACCTGGGGACTCTGGGCTACCAAAGCTCCTCACTCCCTTTCTGTGCTTACTCCCAGGAGCCTCTGGGAGCCCCAGCCCCCACCCACCGGTCCCACCCCCACACCTGGTGAGTGACTAAGGCCTCTTGGCTGGGAGGGAGCACAGCCTCCCCCAGGGCAGTGCCGAGTCTCCCAGAGGATCCTGTTCCCCTCGGACTCAGTGCAGGCTTCCTCCAGAGAGCTGGGCAGAGACGGGGAGGGGGTGCGCACAGGCTCCCAGGGGCTCTGAGGCTGGGCCGGTGAGGGGCCGGGGGTTGAAGCAGTGGGAGATGTTGGGGCCCAGTCTGGGGGAGGAGGAGCTGGGGTGACGTGGGGAGCAGGATGGCCCCAGCCCTCAGCTCCCCATCATGACCCAGCAGAAACGAAGAGAAGGTGCTGCTATTTGGAGAAATAAGGAAGTCAGAGGTGGGAAGTTTGGGAGAAACAAACCACCCTTCCTAGGCACTGGGAGGTTCTGCGTCTCTCTCTGACTCAGTTGACTGCCTTAAACACACCTCCCTCAGCCTCCTTTCCACATGGGGTCACTGCTCCGTGGGGTCACGACGCTGTTGGTTCCTCTTGTCAACCAAGTCACAGAATGGAAGAGCCTTCATTTCCTCAGCATCCTCCTCTTCACACTCGATGAACAATCCACACCGTTCTGCCTCAGAGCCCTCTTATCAGTGTCTCCTGTCCGAAGCTCAGGCCAGGCTCAGCTGGTTTCCTCAGCTCAGCACTTCTTGGTTTGTGGCAGCACAACTCCAAACTCCGCTGCCGTCTCTGGGCTGGTTTTCCATTAGTACTGCAGAAACGCCTGTTCTGTGCAATGAGACGCAGTGACACACCAGACGCCCCTCCAGCCCAGCCCCTGGAGGATCTGAACGGAGATCAGGAACTGCAGAGTTGCCCAGGAACATGGTTTCACACATGCTTCTGCAGGAAATCCATAACCACGATCACCAAGTGGTCATTTCCAGCATCTCAGGGTGTAGGGGATGCTGGCTAGTCCCTGCAGTGACACATCCTTTGGCAACTCTTGTGACCCTATGAAGAACCTATGGAGGTCCTGTGAAGGAAGATCCTATAAAGGTGCTATGGAGGCCCTATGGAGATCCTATGAAGGTCCTTTAGAGAACCTATGGAGGGCCTATGGGGTTCCTATAGCAGTCCTATGGAGTGTCTATTGAGATTCTATGCAGGTTCTGTGAAGGCCCTATGGAAAACCTATGGAGGTCCTGTGAAGGTCCAATTGACACCCCGTGGAGGTCCTATTGAGACCCTGTGGAGGTCCTACTGAGACCCTGTGGAGGTCCTGTGAAGTTCTGATTGAGATTCTGCGAAGGTCCTGTGGAAGTCTTATGGAGACCCTGTGAAGGTCCCGTGGAGATCCTATAGAGGTCTTGCAGATCCTGTGGAGATTCTGACACTTTTCCATGTATGAGGTTGGAAATAGACTTGCAGTTTCAAGATAGGGATCCTAAGGTCAGCACTGTGTTTTCTGAGCAACCTCAAAGTACATTGTTTCATGATCTTGAAGAAGCCCAAATCTTATATATCTGCTAGAGACATATAAGCATCTTCTTCACACATGATGAACAAAGTTCACACATTCGCTCCTCAGTAAGGCACAGAGACATGGACAGAAAGAAAACTAGTCAGGGACTGGCTAAAAAGCCGCTGACCTGAGGATTCGCTGATGGCGTGACCAACGCAGTGAGCTTCAGCCAGCTCTCTCAGCAGCCCCAGTGCACACAGGAGGGGTCCATGAGTGTCGTGGCCGTACAGCAAGAAAAAAAAGGGACGTGCAGCCGGCCATGGTAACTCACACCTGTAATCCCAGTGCTTTGGGAGGCCAAGGTGGGCAGATCACCAGAGGTCAGGAGTTTGAGACCAGCCTGGCCAACATGGCGAAACCCCACTTCTACTAAAAATACAAAAATCAGACAGGTGAGGGGCAGGCACCTGTAATCCCAGCTACTTGGGAGGCTGAGGCAGGAGAATCAGGAGATGGAGGTTGTAGTGAGCCAAGACTGTGCCACTGCACTCCTGCCTGGGAGACACAGCAAGACTCCGTGTCAAAAAAAAAAAAAGAGAAGCATGGACCCAACACCAATGACTCCTCACCAAGGACCATGTAGCCTCGACTGTGGCTGAGAGTCTCCCCAGTGAACAGCAGAGCTTCTGGATGGGATGCCTTCCTTTGAGGGGACCGGCGAGCCATCTGGTGGCCATTTGACAACATGGTGCATATCCCACCAGGAGGGGGCAGCAAATCCTCCTGACCATGATGGATGCTGGTGCTGAGATGGGTTTCGCTGGGCTCACTGCGGCTTTCCGCCAGGAATCAGAGGGTCCCACCTGTTTAAATGGAGCATCTCGCGACCTAATCACAGCTTGAGGGTCCCACACACCCATGAAATCAGTGGGGCAGTGAGAACAGGGCCACGTGATGTCCTGGGGATGACCTGAGATGGAGTGCCTGCAATGCAGTTGTTGGTGCTGCTGGGGCTGAGGGAGCCTCGGAATGGCCTCTCACAGGAGATGCAAGAACCAGGCTGTGGATGAGACACTGCAGTCTGGGTGCTCTCTGATGGTGTCATAGACGTAAAACAGATACAGACAGCTGGAGATGAGATGCATATTCATATGAATGAACACTAAATGAGGCTATAGCTTTTCCTTTTAATATTTGTGTTCGTATTTATTTTCCTATAATGGGCTCTGCAAATGAAAATGCTACATCTGGCTGGGCGCGGTGGCTCACGTCTGTAATCCCAGCACTTCGGGAGGCCGAGGCGGGTGGATCACGAGGTCAAGAGATCAAGACCATCCTGGTCAACATGGTGAAACCCCGTCTCTACTAAAAATACAAAAAATTAGCTGGGCATGGTGGCATGTGCCTGTAATCCCAGCTACTCAGGAGGCTGAGGCAGGAGAATTGCCTGAACCCAGGAGGCGGAGGTTGCGGTGAGCCGAGATCGTGCCATTGCACTCCAGCCTGGGTAACAAGAGCGAAACTCCGTCTCAAAAAAAAAAAGAAAAAACAAAATGCTACATATTTCACAGGTAGAACACATGGGCTGGGAAAGAAAAGGAGAGCATAATAAACAGCCCCCATCACCTCCTTCCAGGTCACCCACCTGGGAGACATGCATGTCCTGGGCCTGCACTTTTAGGTGATTTGGGGTTAGACGGTCTGCCTGGTGGGAAATTGCTACCAGAAGAGAACAAGGGTTACCCAGTGCCAAAAGTCTCACTTTGTCCTTTTTTTTTTCCCCACACACTGCAACATCTGCCTCCTGGATTCAAATGATTCTCCTGCCTCAGCCGCCAGAGTAATCCCTCTGGGATTACCAGCGTGTGCCACAATGCCTGGCATGTTCTACAAAACCTGCTTTTTTTTTTTTTTTTAATCAAAGTCTGATAAATATTTCTTCAAATCCTCCATGGTGATCAATTGACACTTTGTAAATTTGAAGGACAGGTGATTGGTCGAGTGAAAGTGTATAACTTTCTCCTTTCAGCAGACTATGATTTAAAAGTATGAAACATCAACTGTTCTTTTGAAACAACAGTTGTAGTGGTGTTAGTATTGGCTTGCTCTTTGTATTAGTATCGGTTTGCTGCTGGTGCCACAACAGATTACTACACATTGAGTAGCTGAAGCACCATGAATTCATTATCTCATTGTTCTGAAAGTGAGAATTCTGAACCGGCCTTTTAGGATAAAATCGAGGCCTTCACATAGCTACATTCCTTTCTGGAGGCTCCAGAGGAGAATCCATTTCCTTGCTCTTTTAGATTCTTAGTAGAAATGTATGTACTTGTGTATACACATATGACCTATGCGGATTAGTGTTTTGTATGTACTGCTCATTGCATTTACTCACAGCAGCATCTCACCTTCTCCATTTGGGCTTAATTATTCTACTCACTGATTACATCATCATTTAGTATTGCTTTCAGAGAGACTCCAGGTGCAAAAATACCTGCAGCCTTGCAGCTCTAGTGATGCCGGATTCTCTCTCTCTTTCTGTCTCTCTCCCTCCCTCTCTGTCTCTCCCTCTCTTCCTTTCTGTCTCAGTCTCTCTCTCCTCTCCCCCTCCCTCTGTCTCTCCTTCTCTCTCTGTCTGTCTGTCTCTCTCTCTCTCTCTGTTCTTATCATGATACCTGATAAAGGGAAAGTGAACATACCCTCCTTATTCCTATAAGGCGACCACCTGACCTGAGGGTTTAACGTGTGAGACGTGAGTCCCGACAGATCACAAATGCCCCGAGTCTCCTCGTGTACTTTACCGTGACTGAGATACTAAATATAGTCACAAACTGACATTTTCTTTTCAGTTCTATAAAAATTTCAACCATTAGCTCTTCGTGTATGTCATGAACTAACAACCTTCTTCCTTCTTTCATTCTGAAATGGGTACAGACATGTTATTTCTTCTGATTCTGCTTCCTGTATATATTAATACTTTCTGTTGTTCAGTGTCTGTCCTTTCCATGATACAGTCTGGAAAACTTAATGAATATCTCATGCCAATGAACACATTTACTATTGCAGTGGTCTTGTCCTGGATTAAATTACGTTTTGGATTTTGTTATGTCTGCATAGTAGAGATATACAGTGAGTAAATTACTTACTTTGTTTTGAGACAGTTGTGGGCTTCTTGTGGGGCTGCAGTGCAGTGGTGCAATAGCACACTGCAGCCTCTGCCTCCAGGATTCAAGAGATTCTCCTGCCTCAGCCTCCTCATATATGTATATATTTGATTCTCTCTTTATTCCCTGTATTTCTCCTTTTGAGACAGGGTCTTGCTCTGTCGCCCGGTCTGGAATGCCGAGGGGTGATCATAGCTCCCTGCAGCCTCCACCTCCCAGGCGCAGGTGATCCTCTCACATCTTCCTGAGTTGCAGGGACCACAGGCACGAGCCTCCATGCTCAGCTAACTTTTTTCTTTTCTGTACAGACGGGCTCACTGTGTAGTCAGGGTAATCGGAAGCTCCTGGCCTCAAGCCATCCTCCCCTCTCAGCCTCCTGAAGTGCTGGGATTCCAGGCGGGAGCCACCATGGTAGGGCCTCACGGCCACACGCAGCTCAGCCTGGACTGCACAGCCCGGTGTCAGGTGTGTCTCTGCGGACCTGAGCCTGCCTGCAGCATGGACCTGCAGCCCTGAAGCATCTCCAGGGCTGGAGAGAATGGCCCTGGTGAGGACCCCGCACTGCTGTGCTGATGGACAGGCTGAAGGAGGAAAGGAGACTCCATGGGGAGGCTGTGAGAGGGAGGAGAAGCCCATGGTCACCGTCACCTGAAAGGGGCTGAATCAGGAAGCCACCAGGGCTATTTGCCGCTGTGTCCCGGCCCTCAGTGAAATAAAGATAAATGGTTCGGGGGCAGGGAGATCCCACTTCTCTTTGTAGTGTCTGCAGAGAGCCTGGGGCCGTCCTGACCACAGTCCAAAATGAGAGCCAGGCTCCTGGGGAGGGCAGTTCCCCTTCCTGTGTGCTGTGGATGAGACAATCCCATGACAAGAAGCACTCGGACTCCGAGCGGCCACACCCTGGTTATCTCTGTCCGGCCAGCACTGAGGGCTCATCCATCTGCAGAGTCCGGGCCCACTGGGAAGCGACGCCATGACCCCCGCCCTCACAGCCCTGCTCTGCCTTGGTGAGATTTCAAGACGGGGAGGGGGAGATCCGAGTCTTAGAGGGACCCCACCCCACACACAGGCCCTGGTTCATCAGGAGACCTCAAAAGCTCGGGAGCCACTAGGGAGGGGAGGATCTGCTTGGGCTTCAGAGGCAAATCTCACAGGGAACTCTCTTCCAGGGCTGAGTCTGAGCCCCAGAACCCACGTACAGGCAGGTAAGTCTGTTCCCAGCTGTCCCAGGTTCCTCTTCCTCTCTAGGGACAAGACCCAGCCCTGGGCAGCTGGGGGTGGAGACAGCAGTTCTGGGTGGCTGATGGGGATGATGGAGGGTCCTGGAGCTGAGAGCTGGGATCTGAGGGCTGAGGGAGGTCTTGGGATCCAGCCTCTGATTTCCTTCCAGGGCCCCTCCGCAAACCCATCCTCTGGGCTGAGCCAGGCTCTGTGATCATCTGGGGGAGCCCCGTGACCATCTGGTGTCAGGGGAACCTGAAGGCCGAGGAGTATCATCTGGAAAAAGAAGGAACCCAAGTACCCTGGGACATGCAGAAGTCACTGGAACCCAGGAACAGGGCCAGATTCTCCATCTCATCCATGTCAGAGCACCATGCAGGGAAATACCGCTGTCAATATCTCGGCCCTGAAGTCTGGTCAGAGCGCAGTGAGCCCCTGGAGCTGGTGGTGACAGGTGAGGGGACACTCGGGGTCCCAGCCCCAGGCTCTGCCCTCAGGAAGGGGGTTGGCTCTCAGGGACGTCTCTCTCTCTCCCAGCCCAGCCCTGGGGGTGATGTGGGAGGTGTGAGCCCCATTTCACATGGTGCTTCCTTCTCTCCTAGGAGTCCACAGCAAACCCACCCTCTCAGCCCTGCCCAGCCTTGTGGTGACCTCAGGAGGGACCGTGACCCTCCAATGTGGCTCACAGAAGGGATATTACCGTTTTATTCTGATTAAGGAAGGAGAACACCAGCTCTACTGGAATCTGAACTCACAGCAGCTCCCCAGTGGGTGGTTCGAGGCCCTGTTCCCTGTGGGTCCCGTGACCCCCAGCCACAGGTGGATGTTCAGATGCTATTACTATTATAGAAACAACCCCCACGTGTGGTCATACCCCAGTGACCCCCTGGAGATTCTGCCCTCAGGTGAGGAAGCCATGGCTTTTCTAACACACTTTTAGGGCAGCAGACAGGTGGTTGGGAGTGGCTGGTGACTGAAGATGGAGAGGACCCAGAGAGATGTGTTGGTGGACGGGCTGAAGGCGTGAGGGAGGCCCCGTGGGGAGCCTCTGACATGGGAGGAGGAGCCCTCGGTCACACACACCTGGAAGGGACGACTCAGGAAGGCTCCAGTGTGTTTGCTGTGAGGTCCTGGCTCTCAGGGAGAGGAGGGAAATCAGGCACAGTGGCCAAGGCTCAGGGAGACCCCACTCCTCTGAAATGGCTCCAGGACAACCCCGGGTGAAGAGGAGCCCCTGGGATCCGAGACAGAGTGTGAGAGACACTGAGACCTGCAGTGCCAGGACGGGAGAAGGAAGGGGCGTGGGAGGAACAGCCGGCCGAGTCCCCGCTCCGCTTTCCCTCCAGGCGTGTCTAGGAAGCCCTCCCTCCTGACCCTGCAGGGCCCTGTCGCGGCCCGTGGAGGCAGCCTGACCCTGCAGTGCCGCTCCGATGTCGACTACGACAGATTTGCTCTGTACAAGGACCAGGGAGTTCACCTCCTCCAGGGCTCTGGCCGGCAGCTCCAGGCTGGGCTCTCCCAGGCCAACTTCACCCTGAGCCCTGTGAGCCTCTCCCACGGGGGCCAGTACAGATGCTCCGGTGCACACAACCTCTCCTTCGAGTGGTCGGCCCCCAGTGACCCCCTGGACATCCTGATCGCAGGTAAGGGGCCCAGCGGGTTCAGTCAGGGACCCAGGCTCTGCACAGGCCCTGCCGGGGAGCCCAGGTGGTGATGGCCAGGATGAGAGGTGGGGGTCCCAAGGGAGAGACAGACAGACAGAGATGGGATAGGCAGGGAGGGGGAGACTTAGGAAAAACAGAGACTGAGGGTCCCAGAGAGAGGCCTGGGGAGGTCTCAGCTCAGAACAAGGCGGGGCAGCCCCTCACCCATCCTCTTCTCTCCAGGACAGATCCCTGACACACCCTCCCTCTCAGTGCAGCCGGGCCCCACGGTGGCCTCAGGAGAGAACGTGACCCTGCTGTGTCAGTCACAAGGGTGGATGGACACTTTCCTTCTGACCAAGGAGGGAGCAGCTGATGCCCCCGTGCTTCTAAGACCAAAGTACCAATCTGATAAGGACCAGGCTGAATTCCCCATGAGTCCTGTGACCTCAGCCCATGCGGGGACTTACAGGTGCTACGGCTCCTACAGCTCCATCCCCTACCTGCTGTCTCACCCCAGTGAGCCCCTGGAGCTCGTGGTCTCAGGTGAGGCCCCTGACCCTGTCCTCTCTGAGCTCAAAGGCTCAGCTCAGGCCCTGCTGAAGAGGGAGGATGGAGGGAGAGCGGTTGGGATGGAGGGAAGGAGGTTATGAGGGAGGCTTAGCCAGAGGGGCCTCACTCCTCAGCAGGAAGAGGCCAGCAGGGGTTCTCGTAGGCACGGCCACCCGCTCTCCTTGCTGGCATGCAGAAGGTACCAGGCGGGCAGAGACATGTTTCCAGGGAATGCACTGGGCAGACGAAGGGGAGCTGGAGTGAAGTGTGCGCCCCACAGACAGCCCCGGCCCTCACCCCCTCCTGTGCTCTTTCCAGGATCCTCTGCAGGCTCCGGCCCACCACCCGCAGGGCCAGCCACACCCGGTGAGTCACGGAGGTCTCTTGGGGAGCACGGCCTCCCCCAGGGCAGTCCTGAGTCTCCCAAAAGATCCCATTGTTCTCCCCTCAAGGATGGGCTTGTGTCCCAGGGGCTCTGAGGCTGGGCTGGTGAGGGCGGCGGGGGGTGGTCAAGGCAAAGGCAGATGTTGGGGCCCAGCATGGGGGAGCAGCTGGGCTGATGTGGGGGACAAGGCAGCCCCAGCCCTCACCTCCTTGTCCTGACCGTGGTCCCAGGAGGCCCTGAGGACCAGCCCCTCACTCCTCAGGGTCAGGCCCCCAGAGTAGTGAGTGAGGGTCTCTGAGCGGGAGGTGGGTCTCTGTCCAGGGGAGGCAGGGCTGGGTTCTGTCCTAGGTTCAGGCTCCTCTGGAGACGGTGACCTGGACAGGCCCCTCCCCTGTTTGGGCCTCAGTTTCTCCAAGTGTAAAGGAGAGAGGCCTGCATGGGTGGGAAAGTTCCTTTCAGTTCTGACTCCCAGCTGTGACCTCCTGGGCGAGAAGGCCTCTCAGGGGCCTGTGCTGTCCCACCTGCAGCAGTGACGGTGACCTGGGGCAGGGGAAGGGAGCAGGGCCATGGTTCAGGACATCAGACTTTTGCCCTGCAGCTCTAGGGCTCGGCTCAGTGCAGGGAACAAGGGTTGCAGGTCAGACTCCCGGTTCCCTTCCCAGCTTTGCCACAGCCTGGCTGGGGACCTGGGGCAGGCGATTGCCCTCTGAGCCTCAGTTTGTGTATCTGTGAAATGGGTTGTGGGGGCAGCAATCCCATGTTGCTGTCGGAGCTCACGAAGGAATGACTCGGCATACGCCTGCGCACAGTAGGTGCTCACATCAATGATGTCATCCTCATTCCTGATGTCATCACACTCAAGGTCTGGGAAGATACCTGGAGGTATTGATTGGGGTCTCAATGGGCTTCGTCCTGCTGTTCCTCCTTGTCTTCTTCCTCTTCCTCCGACGTCGGCGTCAGGAGAAACACAGGAGCTTGGGTGAGGAGGGAAGGGGGGCACCCATGGGCTGGCCAAGGGTGGGCTCAGGGCACCAGCCAGAGGGAATCAGAACACACAGGGAAGTCAGCTTAGAAAACGGTTCCAGAGGTGCCTAATGTCGGCACACATTTACTTTTTTTTGCTTTTTTGAGATAGAGTCTTGCTCTATGGCCCAGGCTGGAGTGCAGTGACACAGTCTCAGCTCACTGCAACCTCCGCCATCTGGGTTCAATTGATTCTCCTGCCTCAGCCTACCAAGTAACTGGAGTACCTGGGACTACAGATGCCCACCACTACGCCTGGCTAATTTTTGTATTTTTACTAGAGACGGGGTTTCGCCATGTTGGCCAGACTGGTCTTGAACAACTGACCTTGTGATCCGCCTGCCTCAGCCTCCCAAGCTGCTAGGATTACAGGCGTGAGCCACTGTGCCCAGCTAGTCAGCACACATTTACAAACCTCCGTATTCATGGAGTTGTTTTCTATCTCATGAAATATCCGGGACATCCCTGCAGGAATATTTTAAACGTTCCTGCTTTCCCTCAAGTTGCATGTGTAGGATGGGTGGTTCTAATGTTCCCAGGGCTGAGACTCTGTCCATCTTCACCCAGACCAGAGGCAGGCTGATTTCCACTGTCCTACAGGGGCTGTGGAGCCAGAGCCCAAGGACAGGAGCCTGCAGAGGAGGTAATTCTGCCCGAAGACCCCAGACTCCCACCCACCCCCCACCCATACCCTGTCCGCCTCACACTCCTGTGTTCTCTCCCAGGTCCAGCCCAGCTGCTGATGTCCAGGAAGAAAACCTCTGTGAGAGGAAGAGGGGGGACAAATGAGGGGGCTGGGAGACAGGAGTCCCAAAATTTCATTAGCAGCAGGGAGGGGCTAGGAAGGGTATGGGGCTCAGTGAAGATGGTCCCCCTCCACACTGTGGGACCTCCCTGGATCTTAGTGGCCCTGTCTCAGAGCTGGGCAGGGGATGGCGGGGCTGAGAGGTCCCAGGGAACCTTCCCAGGAGATGAACCCCTTGCTCTGCCCAGCAGATGCTGCCGTGAAGGACACACAGCCTGAGGACGAGGTGGAGCTGGACACTCAGGTGAGACCCCGCCCCTGTCCCGGGCACCAAAGGCCTCCTGGTGCCGGATCTAACCCAGCAGGACTTCTCTGTCCTTCTTCCCCGGCTCTCAGCACCGTCCAGGGCGGACCCTCCGTGTCCAGCATGCTGCCTCCCGCCTGCTGTGACCTCACTCTCTCCTGGTGTCCTGGGACCTCGTGGGCCTCCTCCCGGGTCCCCTTCCTGCTCCTCGTCCTCTGTTTGGCCGTCTGGTTGTTCGAGGGCTCCCCAGGCCTCAGGAGGATGAGGAATGAACCACCCCGGTGCCCTGGGCTCCCCTTCATTCATTCACCCAGCGAGTGTTCCCAGGAGCTCACTGTGGATGGGGCTCCCCGTGGGAGCTGCAGACACAACAGGGAGCAAAGCCGCCCCCGCCCTCCTGAGCTCACCTCGTGGTGGGAGACAAAATGCAAATAAACGCACAGTGTCCAGGAGTGCGACGTGCTGTGAGGACAATAAACCAGGGGAAGGGCAGAGAGTGCAGGGCAGTGGGGCCAGTCTGAATGGTGAGGGGAGGGCTGTCTGGTCAGCTGTCATCTGAGAAGCCCGGACGGAGAGGGCCACACCATCCTCTAATGGACGAGCCCCTGCAGACAGAGGAAACAGCAGTGCCAAGGCCCCGAGGCAGCAGTGAGCTCTTGTGGGAAGGCGGGCGTGAGGCTGCAGCCAAATGGGCAAGGTCAGAGTGAGGAGGAGAGGCCAGAACCGCAGGGAGGGAGCAGCCGGACCCTCCACAGCCTTAGTGCAGTCCCTGAGAATTCCATCAGGAAACGGATGTAAACGGATCACTCTGGGAAACAGTGGGAGAACTGACTCCAGGGGGTCAGGGGGACTCAAGGACACCCCCCACCACTGTCTCTCCAGCGCAGCCCACATGATGAAGACCCCCATGCAGTGACCTATGCCGTACACTCCAGACTCGGGCAGCAGTGGCCTCCCCTCATTCACCACTGTCCGGGGAATTCCTGGATACAAAGGACAGGCAGGCAGAAGAGGAAGGCAGATGGACAGTCAGCCAAGTCCTTTCCTCTCTCTCACCCCCACCACGTCCCCTCTCATTCTCCCCGACTGTAGGCTGCTGCACCTGAAGGCCCCCAGGATGTGACCTACGCCGAGCTGCACAGCTTGACCCTCAGACGGGAGGCAACTGAGCCTCCTCCCTCCCGGGAAGGGGCCCCTCCAGCTGAGCCCAGCATCTACGCCACTCTGGCCGTCCACTAGTCCAGGGGGGACCCAGACCCCACACTCAACAGGACACTCAGGGACTCCAGAAGACATGGGAGTAGACCCCAGTGGACCCCAGCCAGCCTGGACCCCTAACACAGACCACCAGGAGGCACTGGGAACTTGTGGTACTAAATGACTAATATCCTTGCATTTTGGAAATAAAGCAACAGACTTCTCAATAATCAGTGAGTCAATAAGAAAAAAAAACAGACGTAAAGGCCAGGTGTGGTACTTGGGAGGCTGAGTCGGGAGAATGCCTTGAACACAAGAGGTTAAGACTGCAGAAGCTGTGGTGAGCCATGGCTGTGCCGCTGCACTCCAGCCTGTGTGATAGAGACCTTGCCTCTTAAAAAAAAAAAAAAAAGCGTGAATGTTTTTCATTGAATGATAATGTCAATATTCCACATCAAACTTACAAAATGGGAAAATTAAGAGGCATAACCAGGTGCAGTGGCTCACGCCTGTAATCCCAACACTTTGGGAGGCCAAGTGGGGACGATGGCTTGAGCTCAGGAGTTCCAGCCAGCCTGAGCAGCATCGTGAGACCCCATCTCTACAGAAGATAAAGCTCGTCAGGCATGGTGGCACACACCTGTAGCCCCAGCTACTTGGGAGGCTGAGGTGGGAGGATCACTTGGGCACAGGAGGTCGAGGCTGCAGTGAGCCAGGATCACACCACAGCACTCCAGCCTGGGCAACAGTGAGACCCTGTCTCAAAAAACTAAAAACCCAGTGAAATTATCTGTTGATTAGTGTTTGCATAATACATTTTTCAACCTTCGGTTTTTTTAATGTGATAAAATATAAATAACAGGCCAGGTGTGGTATCCCACACCTGTAATCCCAGCACTTTAGGAGGCCAAGGCAGGCGGATCATCAGGTCAGGAGTTCAAGACCAGCCTGCCCAAGATGGTGAAACCCTGTCTCTACTGAAAATATAAAAATTAGCCAGGTGTGGTGGCAGACGTCTATAATCCCAGCTACTAGGGAGGGAGGCAGAGAATTGCTCGAACCCGGGAGACAGAGGTTGCAGTGAGCCGAGATCACACCACTGCACTCCAGAATCACAGTATTTGTCTTTTTGTGTCTGGTTTATCTCATTTAGCATAATGTTTTCAATGCTTATTCACATTATTCATTATTTTTAACCCACTTGCTTTCTTGTATTTAATTTCCTTCCTATAGATTGTGTACAAAAAATGCTTCTTTGTTGTTAATTTTTAAAAATCCAATCTTGTAATCTCTTTTAATTGCTGTATTTAGATCACTTACGTTAATGTCACTTAATGACAGGCATATGTTCTGAGAAATCCATCATTAAAAAGTGTTGGCCAGGGCCGGGCACGGTGGCTCAAGCCTGTAATCCCAGCACTTTGGGAGGCCGAGGCGGGTGGATCACAAGGTCAAGAGATCGAGACCATCCTGGTCAACATGGTGAAACCCCGTCTCTACTAAAAATACAAAACATTAGCTGGGCATGGTGGCGCATGCCTGTAATCCCAGCTACTCAGGAGGCTGAGGCAGGAGAATTGCCTGAACCCAGGCGGTGGAGGTTGTGGTGAGCCGAGATCGTGCCATTGCACTCCAGCCTAGGTAACGAGCGAAACTCCGTCTCAAAAAAAAAAAAAAAAAGTGTTGGCCAGGCTTGGTGGCTCATGCCAGTAATAGCGGCACTTTGAGAGGCGGAGACGGGCAGATCACCAGAGGCCAAGAGTTCAAGACCAGCCTGGCCAACATGGTGAAACACTGTCTCTACTAAAAATACAAAAATTAGCTGGGCATCATGCACATGCCTGTAATTCTGGCTACTCAGGAAGCTGAGGCAGGATTGAACCTGGGAGGTGGAGGTTGTATTGAGCCGAGATCATGCCACTGCACTCCAGTCTAGGCAACAAGAGTGAAAACTCCATCTAAAAACAAAAACAAGCTCACCATTGTGTGAACATCATAGTGCGAGCGTACTTACACAAACATATGGGATATAACCTGCTCCGTGCGTGGGCTCCATCATCTCGCATGATACGTGTGGCTGACTGCAAGATCGTTACGCGGCACGTGGCTGTATTCACGCTTGCCTTTTTGTTTGCTTCTCTCTGTTGTTTGCTGATTCCCCTTTCCTGCCTACTCTTGGCTTTTTAGAAATGTTTTTAGTTTTGTTAAAAACATGATTCCTGGACTTTTCTATTTAATACTTTTGGACCATGGTGGAGCACCAGGTAACTGAACCACAAAAAGAAAATTACAGATCAAGGGGGACAACTGTATTAGAGATTTTAAAAATACATTTAAAATTTTTTTGTAGAGGTGTGGTCTCACTACGTTGCCCAAGCTGCCCTCGAACTCCTGGGCTCAGGAGCCTCCCATCTCAGCCTCCCAAAGTGTTGGCATTGCAGGCATGAGCCACTGTGCCCAGCTTAAGAGTTTTTAATTGACAAATAACAATTGTACATATTTATGGGGTACAGAATATTTTATCTACTTGTGTGTGGCTTTTGTTGTTTGAGACAGTTTCATTCTTGTTGCCCAGACTGGAGTGCAGTGGTGTGATCTCAGCTCACTGCAACCTCCGCCTCCCAGGTTCAAGTGATTCTCCTTCCTCAGCCTCCCAAGTAGCTGGGATTACAGGCATGTGCCACCACGCCCAGCTAAATTTTTTTTGTATTTTTAGTAGAGACAGGGTTTCACCACGTAGGCCAGACTGGTCTCAAACTCCTGACCTCAGGCAATCCACCTGCCTCAGCCTCCCCAAGTGCTGGGAATAAAGGTGTGAGCCACCATGCCCAGGCTATCTACCAGAGTTTTAATTATAACTCTTTGTACACATGTAAGTGGCTAACTCTATGCAATTTTACCTCTAAAATGAACTGCTGGAATCTTAGGAACACAGAAGTTCCTCTATCCCCTCCCCTTTAAGTTGCAGTTATGATATGTATTACATCTACATTACACAGTGAAACCCCACCAGACAAAACTAAGATTCTCACTTCCTCAGAGACCAAACCCATCCTGGTTGCAGGTGAGAAGCCCCTGCCCAGCCCCCATCCTGTTATCTGCTCAGGACCCTGGGTTCAGGGTCATCCCTGGTGATGAGGGTCGAGGGAGGGAATGAGATGGGGCAGTGGTCTAAGGAGCTCACAAGGAAAGGGAGACCCAGCAGGCCAGGCACTGTGGCTCACACCTGTAATCCCCCCACTCACTGCCTCGGTAGGAAGAGCCCCAAAGATGAAGACCCCAGGGAGCGCATCCTTTCCTTCCCAAGCCTGTAGGCTTCTCCACAGCAGAACCGCACCCCTCCCCTCCCCTCCACTCCCCTTCCCCCTCCTCTCCCTCCAGGCTGCTGCATCTGGAACTCCACAAGATGTGTGATTTGCACCCACATGAGCCGTCAGCTCTCAGACCAGAGGCAACTGCACTGTCTTCCTCTCAGGGAGCCCAGTGAGTCCGCTGCTCTGGCCATCCACTAAGCCAGGACAAGACCCAGACCCCACAGTCCAGAGACCAGTGACCCCAGAAGGTGCAGCAGCTGGCCCCATGAATGTCCAACAAGACGACCATCACTTCCCAAGCGGCAACCCGGAGAGAAGGGCTGACCACGTAGCTCAAGCAAGCTGCAACGGACTTAGGCTTCTCCACGGGGTTTACAGAACTCAGCTGCGTTGCAGAGCTGTCCCTGTATAGAAGCTGCCCTGACCTTCAAAGACCGAAGGCCTCTAGACAAGGACCCCATCGACTAGGGCCTGAGAGGGTTGCACAATTTCTAGTTTCTCACTTCCTCAGAGATGAAACCCATCAACAAGGCAGAGAAAACAGAAGCCTAACCTCCTGACCCTGAGTCCACAGAAACAGCAAACGTGGGTAGGAGGAAGAGCTCCCTCAACACCCCTCCTACACTAACCCACTTCCCCTACGAGGGAAGACGAAGCTGGGAACTTGCCCAGCATCACCCACATCACGAGCTCTGATACGAGCCCGCGGTTCTGTGAAGTGCTGCCCAGCGAAACATCCAACACAGTCGACCTTCTCCAGCAACCAGGCCAGCCTCAGAGGTCAGCTCCCATCCCACTTCTCTCCCAGGGTCAGGGTGAAAGGGCCAACAGCCAGGGCAGGCCCCACCTCCACTTGCTGCCTCCGCTGCCTGGAAATGAATGAATGACTCCCTTCTACCCTATATGCAAACGCTGGCTTACTTGGAATTTCCTTCTGGTCCTCTTTTTCCCAAAATACCGTCAGTCTCTCCCATGACAGCAGTGCCTGGGGAAGATGCAGACAGCAGTACTGAGGCCAGGGCCCACGATCTGGTAGGCATTCCTGGGCATCTCAACACCCAGAAGTGAGTGAGCTGCCCGCTGAGCTTCCCAGGGAAGGCGGCAAGGTCAGAGCAGGGTTAAGAGTCAAGGAGGAGACACGAACACACCAACTACATAAAGCGCTAATCCTGTTTATTCAGCAGGAAAACTCGGCAATCCACGAGCCCAAGAGGGGGACAGGTGGGCTTAATCCTCCTCCTCATCATCCCCAGCTCCAGCCCCGCCCTGACCCTTCTTGGCATTCTTCCTCTTCACGCGGCCTGGGCGGCCGCCCCCGTAGGGAGAGCGGAGGGAGAAGTCAATGTGCTTCTGGGAATCCAGGCGGACAATGAAGGACGGGATGTTCACCACCTGCTTGCGGACCCTGGAAGAGGGGACAGGAGTTAAGTGGACTGGGGAGAAACGGAGCAAGCCCAGCAGAGGTGCCTCTCCTCTTCACTCCAGGGCTGCAGACACCCCGGCACTGCCGAAAGGGCGCTCCTGATCCTGTGGGCCTCGTGAGTCCAGGGTCTTAGGGCATCACCTTCACCCCCCAAAATGCTTTAGATGAGTTTCGCAACCTCATTTAGTAGAAATTCGAAAGTATCCCACATAAAACCACAAAGCAAATGAGGTGGCCATTGAAAGCCCAAAGTGTGAAACACTCAACCCCACACCTGGCACTGAGCTTTACCACGCACAGCGGCAATGCCCACTGTGACACAGCAACCCGAGGCTGCGTCCACAATGAAAGCTCTGCCCACGGCTCACAGGGTGAGTGAAGGGCTGAGGTGGACACTGTACATGTAAACATCTTGGCCTCTTCCTGCACAGCTCCTCCCTCTCAATGGTGCCATGTTACAGAAAGGGCACCCTGAGTACCCAGAATGCAATCACGGATTAGGGTCTGAACTGACTTAACAAGCGAGCCCAGGAGACAGCTGAACCCACCACCAAGCGAGGAGGCTGGTTCTCTCCCTCCACTGGGAAGGCCTAGAGCTGTTACCTGTCCAGCGGCCCACATGCCTGGCAGAAGCCTTCACAAGGTGTACGGCTTGAGCCGCAGTGACCCTTGCGCTGGGCTTTTGGGACGTGAGCTGTGTGCAAGGGTGAATCTGTACCCTCAGGGTGAGCTCACACCCATCACCTCCGAGGGCTGCAGGAGACAGGGACAGCAGGCTTAGTGAGGGCAACCATCAGAGGGCAGCGTGGAGGAAGATCCGGACGCCCACAAGAGGTGGTACCTGATATGGCGCTGGCGGATCAGCACGCGGGCGTGGTGGATGGACTTGGCCAAGCCCAGCTTGAAGACCTGGGTCTGCAGGCGTCTCTCTAAGAAATCCTCGATCTTCAGGCCCAGGATGTAATCCAGCTTCATCTTGCCCTCATCCAGCACCCCAATGCGGACCAGCCGCCGCAGCAGGGCATTGCCTGGGAAGGGTGGAAGGAAGCACTGATTCAGCTTCTGGGGTTCAAATCCTGGCTCCTCCTCTTAGGCTCCATTCGCGATGGTGAGGCACGGTAGTATTAGCAAGCAAGGGGTAAGTCTGATAAGACTCAACGCACCAGTCCCTGTGACCCAGGTCATCGTCAAAACCATGCTTGTAATCCCAGCACTCTGGGAGATGGGCGGATCACTTGAGGTCAGGAGTGGGCAACATGGTGAAACCCCATGTCTACTAAAAATACAAATAATTAGCCAGGCTGTTGGCGCATGCCTGTAATCCCAGCTATTCAGGAGGCTGAGGCAGGAAAATCGCCAGGCAGAGGTTGCTGTGACCTGAGATGGAGCCACTGCACTCCAGCCTGGGTGACAAGAGTGAAACCCTGTCTCTCTCTCTCTCTCTCTCTCTCTCTCACACACACACACACACAACCAGGCTATGGCTATCATCCATAGTAATCTGGCAGGAGACAGGAGGGCAAATACACCTGAGAATGTGACATCCTTTGCTCCACATTCTCAGCAAGAGTAAATGAGATTTCCTTACAAGGACTCAGTCTGCAAAAGACCAAGCGCAGCTGCAATTAAGCTCCCACTACCCTAACAAAGCAGAGTGGTTAGTTAAGAGTTCATATGCTGGGAATACAGGCGCCCACCACCACATCCAGCTAATTTGTAATTTTGGTAGAGATGGGGTTTCACCCATGTTGGCCAGGCTGGTCTTGAACTCTTAACCTCAGGTGATTCTCCCACCCGGCCTCCGTTGGTTATTAACCGCCAGCCAAATGTTAACAGCTGTTCAATCTTTCTACCAGATGAGACTCAGAATCTTGCTAGTCATACATCTTAGTGGGAAACGCTGGACTTGAATCAAGGCACGACTACACCTAAGAGCAAACGTCAAAGCTCCTCCTTCCTGTCCCTGGCTAGGCTAGATGGCTTCACTTACTAGAAAGTGTACCTACCTGAAAAGCTGTCTACCCCTTGGGATCTTTCACTTCTGCCTTGGAAAACCACAAATAACCCTCAGACAACTGCACCGCTTTCTCACATGACTAAGTTTCGTCGCTATTAGGCTCTGTATTAACAAAGTCCTCCCTAAAACCAGAACCAGCTGTATAGCCGTGTCGCCACAGGACTCTGGGATAAACTCCCGTCCAATTATCAGTAACCTTGGGGGTGGCAACTCCAGCATTTTCATAAAATTGTCAAAGGGGGCTACAATCTAAAAAAAGGAATGAAAGGGTCTGGTGCAATGACTTACACCTGTAATCCCAGCACTTTGCAAGGCTGAGGCCAAAAAATCACTTGAGACCAGGAGTTGGAAACCATCCTATCCTGGGCAACATTGCAAGATTCTGTCCCTATTTAAAAAAAAAAAAAAAAAGAAAAAGAAAAGAAAAGAAAGCTTTAATATCTGCAGGCCTGGGGCACTGTGATAATCTGTGACTAAGCATGCTCCAGGGCTTTCTTGATGTCCAATATGGACGACAACTCTAACAGTCAGCGCTCAGGTGTAGATTCTGCTTTTCACCATAAATCATGACTACCCAAGCTCAGGCAAATGCAGTGTCTCAGGATATACTAATGTAAATCTTGGTCGTGCCAATCTGCTGCAGAAAGCACTCCAGCAACACCACATCTCAGAGCAGAAACTCAAGATCTTAAAACAAATGGTTAAGATGACAAATGTTCATGTTAATGTCTATTTCACCACAGTTAGTAAAGTAAGCCAAAGTCTGTATGATCTGCATACCCTCCCAAAGTCATCACCTGAAATGCTGTTCCCTGAGACATTTAACAGATTCTCTCCCGTTCAGGCCTTTGCTAAATGCTGCCTAAATGTCTTTGACCAGCTTAATAAAGCAAGCACCAGCCTGGCCAACATGGGAAACCCGGTCTCTACTAAAAATACAAAATTAGCCCCGCGTGGTGGTGCATGACTGTGATCCCAGCTACTTGAGAGGCTGAGGCAGCAGTATTGCTTGAACCCGGGAGGCGCAGGTTGCAGTGAGCTGAGATCCTGCCTTTGCACTCCAACCTGGGTGACAGAGTGCGATTCTGTCTCAAAAATACGTAAGTTTTAATTTAAAAAAAAGCAAGCAAATGTGAACTCTTATCACCATCACTCATTCCAGAAATTCGACTTCACAGTCTACTCGCACCACTAGCAAAGAGGCCACATGATCAGAATTGTTTTTGAGACATCATATAAAGATATAGTCAGGTGCCCAAGTGTGCCAGGCCTCTCTTTAGCTCTGGTCGTTACTAAACCGAAGGTCCAAGAACTGAGTAACAAAAGCCCCACAGCTAAGAAACAAGGCAAAGACTGATCCAGCTCCAATTTTCCTACTCAAGTCCGATTAAAACACCAAGTTAAGCCAGGCGCAGTGGCTCACGCCTGTAATCCTAGCACTTTGGGAGGCTGAGGTGGGTGGATCACCTGAGGTCAGGAGTTCAAGACCAGCCTGGCCATCATGGTGAAACCCCATCTTTAAATAAATGAATAAATAAATACAAAAAAAAAAACAAAAACCCCACTAAGTTAAAAAGGCTGTCTCTGTTTGTCCAATGACACAACTCCCATCATTGGAACAGAGCTAGAAGGGACAGTGAACCTCACAAGCCCTGAGGTCCATCCCTCTGCTGTGGGCTCCCATACGCACCTTCGAAAAGACGCCGTGGATCCTTCTCGTCAAGTGTCAGCAGCTCTCGGGCGGCCTTGCGGATCTTGGCCAGGGTAAATTTGACCCTCCAGACCTCACGTTTGTTCCGGAGCCCATACTCGCCTGCATGTGGTAGGGAGAAGGGGGTGGACAAGTTTACTCTCAAAGATTAGTACAAAAACTAGGCTGGCAATTTTGGATACACAAAACCTTTCTAAACCACGAACAGTGCCAAATTTAGAGGGTGGACTAGATCGAACACGTGGGCACCCTCATCCACGTGCTAACCGCCTCTCGGAAGGCTTGGTCACTCACCGATCAGCTTCAGCTCTTGGTCCAGACGAGATTTCTCGAAGGGTCTCCGCGGGGTCACATAAGTTTTGCGACAAACCCAGCTCCGGGCCACCGGCATGCTGGCTCCGCTTACCCGTCTGCGCCTGCGCGGAAGGAAAGTTGAAAAATGAGAGCTCTAGGTGGCGCCGGCGCAGTCCCACAACTGCGCCAAAACCTCGCGGCGCCCAGATTGGCTCTCGCGAGAATCACTTCAAACGCTTTCATAATCAGCATCCGGCCCAACAACCGTGCTGCCTTCCCATTCAGCCACCCTACTCTGATCCCTAACGTCTTTAGCTTGTTCGTGGAAGCTCGGAAGGCCCGCGCGAACATCCGACCCGAACCCTAGCCAAAAAGCACATCACGACACCTCACCTAACTACGCGACCCGGTCACTGAGAAAGAGACGCGCACGCGACACAGCGGCGCTCTTATAGTAATGCCGGCGCCTCGTGACCGTATCACGCACGACGCACGTCTGAGCCAATCAGAGGAGGCGTTGGCTGGCGGAGAAGCAGTCGAGATGTGAGTCTGGGCTAGAGCGGCGTGCTAAACCCGGACGACTAGCTTTCTTCCGGCTGAGGCGTGGAAACTTGAGAAGTCGGGAGACCCTTCCTTCTCCACCCCTGGACTGTGGTTTTCTCTCTTTCTTTCTGAGACAGGGTATCGCTCTGTCGCCCCAGCCGCAGTGCAGTTGTAGGATCTCTGCTCACTGCAGCCCAGACCAACCTGTCGGGCTCGAGCGATCCTCTCGCCTTCTCCGGAGTAGATGGGATTAAAGGTACACGCCACCACGCGCGGGTAACTTTTTTTCCCCCCCATACAGTCGGCGTTTTGCTACGTTGCCCGGGCTGGTCTCGAACTCCTGGCCTCGAGAGGTCCTTCCGCTGTGGCCCCCCGAAGTGCTGAGATCACAGCCGTGTGCCACCGCGCCCAGCCGAGATTATTTCTATCACTAACAATCATGTGGCATTCTGGAACGACTGTGTGACACATACTAAGAATTTTAAATGTATTTACTCAATCCTCAGTCATATACTTACGTTACGGAGCACTCTCAGAGAAGGTGCCCCCCCCACCACCAAACGGTACTATGATCAAATTTTCGCTTAAGAAATATTAATAGTATTATCAGTAGTTTATTTTTATTTATTTTTGAGATGGAGTTTCGCTCTTGTCACCCAGGCTGGAGTACAGCGGCGCGAAATCTCGGCTCACCGCAACCTCCGCCTCCCTGGTTCAATCGATTTTCATGCCTCAGCCTCAGGAGTAACTAGGACTATGGGCGCCCACCACCATGCCAGGCTAATTTTTGTATTTTTAGTAGAAACGGGGTTTCGAGCTGCTGGTCTCAAACTCCAGACCTCAAGTGATCCACCCGCCTCAGCCTCCCAAAGTGCGGGGATTACAGGCGTGAGCGATCACGCCCCGCCTGGAGTTCTCTTTTTATATGTAGTCTGGCTATGGTCTTTGTATACCCATCTCTCCACACTGGATGCGATGGTCTTTCTCCACTGTGTTCTTCAGTTCTGTACGCTGCTGCCTCGGCAGGCAGTCAGTATCTCCTCAGGAAGCGGTCCCACCGGCCCTTCTCTTCCACGGCATCCACACCATCCGGATGCCTGGACTCAAATGTCACATCACCACTTGCTAGCTGCAGCGCCTTCGACAAGTTTCCCAATCACTCTGTGCCTCAGCGTCCTCCGCTGTGAAACGGAGAATGACGGTGGTGCCTCCCTCCATAAGCTTGTTTGTGAGGACTGAGAGTCTATATCTAAAGTGCTTAGGGGAGTGTCTGGCACAAAGAAAGCGCCCTGTGTTAGCTGTCATCGCCATTATTATCATCTGCATTGTACTTCCGTATCTTACCACCTTGTTCTGTTTTATGCTTTTTTTTTTTTTTTTTTTTTTTTTTTGAGACAGGGTTTTACCATGTTGTCCAGGCTCGTCTCGGAATTCCTAGGTTCAAGTGATCCGCTTGCCTCAGCCTCCCTAAATGCTGGGATTACAGGTGTGAGATTACACTTGGATTACACTGCGCCCGGCCAAATTTTATGCATTTTTGTATATATATATATTTTTTTTTGAGACGGAGTTTCGCTCTTGTTACCCAGGCTGGAGTGCAATGGTGCGATCTCGGTTCACCGCAACCTCCGCCTCCTGGGTTCAGGCAATTCTCCTGCCTCAGCCTCCTGAGTAGCTGGGATTACAGACACAAGCCACCATGCCTAGCTACTTTTTGTATTTTTAGTAGAGACGGGGTTTCACTATGTTGACCAGGATGGTCTCGATCTCTTGACCTCGTGATCCACCCGCCTCAGCCTCCTAAAGTGCTGGGATTACAGGCACGAGCCACCGCACCCAGCACATTTTTGTATCTTGAACACGCTTACATTTTTCATCAGGAAGGGGAAAACACGGAAGGAAGAAAACTCTTCCATAATTTTCATTGCCTTCAGGATGAAGTCCAAACGCCACAAATTCCAGGTGCCTAATAATTAGAGATGGCTTTATAATGGTGGTTAAGCCTGTAGGTTCTCAAGTCAAAAAAAGCGTTTGAACTTCAGCTGTCACTGACCAGCTCATGATCTTAGGCAAATTAGCCTCTTCAAGAGTGCTAAATGGGAGCAACTAACAGGACTTTCCTCATAGGGTTTGATGATTTAGAGTTAAAAAAAAAAAAAGGCTGGGCGCAGTGGCTCAAGCCTGTAATCCCAGCACTTTGGGAGGCCGAGGCGGGTGGATCACGGGGTCAAGAGATCGAGACCATCCCGGTCAACATGGTGAAACCCCGTCTCTACTAAAAATACAAAAAATTAGCTGGGCATGGTGGCACGTGCCTATAATCCCAGCTACTCAGGAGGCTGAGGCAGAACTTCCTGAACCCGGGAGGCGGAGGTTGTGGTGAGCCGAGATCGCGCCATTGCACTCCAGCCTGGGTAACAAGAGCAAAACTCCATCTTAAAAAAAAAAAAAGAAAAGAAAACCAGGCCAGAGCCCTGCATACTGAAGGTGCTTCATCCAGCTGACTCCTGTCCAATGAAGGAGCTGGGAGCACCAATCTCCAGCTCAGCTGAAAATCTCCATATAGGCCGGGCGAGGTGGCTCACGCCTGTAATCTCAGCACTTTGTAGGAGGCCGAGGCAGGCAGATCAAATGAGGTCAGGAGTTCCAGAACAGCGTGGCCAACACAGTAAGACCCCGTCTCTACTAAAAATACAAAAATTAGCCAGGCATGGAGGCAGGTGCCGGTAATCCCAGCTACTCAGGAGGCTGAGACAGGAGACTCCATTGAACCCACAAGGCAGAAGTTGCGGTGAGCCAAGATCATGCCACTGCACTCCAGCCTGGGTGACAAGAGCAAGACTGCCTCAACAATGACAAAAAAGAAAATCTGCATGCAACTTTTGACTTCCCCAAAACTTAACGACCAGGCCAGGAATGGTGGCTCACACCTGAAATCCCAGCACTTTGGGAAACTGAGGTGGGCAGATCAGTTGAACCTAGGGATTACAGACCAGCCTGGGCAACATGGTGAAACTGCGTCTCTACAGAAAACAGAAAAATTAGCTGGATGTGGTGGCATGCACCCATAGTTCCAGCTACTTGGGAGGCTGAAGTGGGAGGACTGCTTGAGCCAAGGAGGTTGAGGCTGCAGTGAACCAAGATTATGCCACTGCACCCCAGCCCGGGTGGCAGAGCGAGACACTGTCTCAGAGGGAAAAAAACTGCTCATAGTGGCTGGAAGCCCTGCCAATAACATAGTCAACACGTATTTTGTACATTGTATGTACTATATACTGTATTTTTATGATGAATTAAGCTAGAGAAAAGAAAATATTAAGAAAACTTTGAGAAAATACATGAATCCATTTACTATTAAGTGGAAGTGGACCATCATAAAGGTCTTCATCCTTGTCTTCATGCTGAGTAGGCAGAGGAGGAGGAGGGGTTGGTCTTGCTGTCTCAGGGTGGCAGAGGTGGAGGAGGTAAAAGGCAAAGCAGGAGAGGTAGGCATGCTGTGTGACCTTTACTTCTTTAAATCTGCAGTTTAAGGGGAGCTGAGCAGTTCAGACTCATGTTGCTCAAGGGTCAGCGGATGAGACTGGGCCTCACCCTGATCCTCTTCAGAAGCATGGTCCAATCACATGGCACTGGCCCCTCTTCCACAAACCCCTCATGCTTCCTTGCTTTCACTCAGCCTGGAGTCCTCTGGCCCTTCCGCTCTGAAAGGCACACAGGTAATGTAAAAGGAACCCTTGGTTTCCATCATGGGTTGCCAGGGACCAAGCTGGGCATGCTTGGGGAGCTGAATTCCTTTCTTTACTTTTGTACAAGTGTAATAAAATCTAATTATGCCCCATCTGTAGGACGCAAAAGCATGTAACTGTTTGCAAAAATGAGGCAAGCCTGGGCATATCAAAAAAGCAAGCTGCTGAGTGTGTATAGTATGCTACAATTTGCATTAATAAAAATCATAAATGTATGTATATTAAAAATATGCTTAGAAAGTAGTGTATTAGGAGAAATTATAATTTCCAAGTTAGGCCGGGCACGGTGGCTCAAGCCTGTAATCCCAGCACTTTGGGAGGCCGAGACGGGTGGATCACGAGGTCAAGAGATCGAGACCATCCTGGTCAACATGGTGAAACCCCGTCTCTACTAAAAAAAATACGAAAAATTAGCTGGGCATGGTGGCGTGTGCCTGTAGTCCCAGCTACTCAGGAGGCTGAGGCAGGAGAATTGCCTGAACCCAGGAGGCGGAGGTTGCAGTGAGCCGAGATCGCGCCATTGCACTCCAGCCTGGGTGACAAGAGCGAAACTCCGTCTCAAAAAAAAAGAAAGGTTGCTTATACGCATTACTGGAGATAGTAAAAAAATAAAAACAGAAGGAAGAGGATGCTTGAAGTATGAAAATGCTGAAGTCTTAGTTTAAAAAAAAAAGAAGAGGAGGATGCAGATAGTCAGTTCATGAGGAACCTGCAAACTGAGGCCTTTGGCTTTCACTCTGAGATGGAAAACTGTGAGTTTTAGACAAGAGCTGTGAAACGGTCTGACTTATCCTTTAATATGATGATTCTGGCTGCTCCGTTGCAAACAGACAACAGAGGGGCAAGCACAGAAGGCAGGGGATGAGTTAGGAAGCTAGCAAGAGCCTATGAGCAATGTTTGGTTTTTCTGAGATGCTGCCAGTGAAGGTGGAGGGCAGGGGCCAAACTGTGAACATGGCACCTACAGAATTTGTTGACTGATGACGTGGGGACATCAGTCACAGAAGTTTTCTTTTTTTAAAAATAGAGACGGATTCTCACTATGTTCAGCCCAGGCTGGTGTGGAACTCCTGAGCTCAACTTATCTTCCCACCCTGGCTTTCCAAAGTGCTAGGATTACAGGCCTGAGCCACCACACCCGGCCACAAAAGATCTGAATGAGAAACTTTTCAGAGGAGAGACTCGTGACAGAGGTACTGAGACATCCGATTACTTGTAGAGAGGAGAAAGGGTAGAGCATAGACTTACAAGCTACTTATCAAAC